TTTGACTACTAATGGACAGTGGTCTGAAAGCCCTTCTGGCAACACCGTCACAAAACTTTGATCATACTCCATATGCCACTCATTGTTAACTAGAACCCTATCAAGTTTGGCCCAAATTCTGGTTTCTCCCAGCTGTTTATTATTCCAAGTGTAGTGCCCCCCATGAGTAGTTAAGTCCCGAAGCTGGCATTCTTCAATAGCTAGCTTGAACTCTCCTATATCCCTTACGGTAACAGGGGCTCCTCCAAGTTTTTCTTCTTGGCTGAGAATATTATTATAGTCCCCTGCTACCATCCATCGCTCCTTTGTAATCTGGCTCTTTTCCACCATCACTTTCCACAGTTGAGTTCTCTCGTTTTTATCATTATCTCCATAAACCAGTGTAAACACAAATCTTTTATCATTCTTCTTATCTACTACCTGGCAATAAAATATACTACTCCCCATTATCCTTAACTAAGACATCTACTTCTTGCTTGTCTAGCATCCTTAACTAGCATCATTCAATTCCTATCCTCAGTGGTACAGTTCCCTTCATATTAATATCTTGGCCACTCATTCTTCATTACTTCCTACATTTTAGATTTTTTCAGTTTGACTTCTAAAATCCCTAGTGCACTTGGTCGATTCACAGAGACTACATGCTTTAGTTCCCTGTGTTTCAGGGGGTTGTGCAGCCCCCTTGGGTTCCATATATTCACATTATTCATGAGGGGTAATCCTCATTGTTCCATCCACCATTCCTTCTTTATTTACCCATAGACTATACTCAGTCCCCATCCCAACTTTCTTAGGCTCTTCATGAGTCTGTCCATCCATTACTGCCTTTCATGTCTGTGCTTTCCTTCCAATTGGATTTACCACTGGTCTAGAACCTTGAGGAGCAACCACTCGATCTTCACCTGCAGGGATTGATACTTCTCTGGGCTTAGGTTTCCAAACTGGTTCTGGTTTCTTCCTGCACATTGAAGTTTTATCTCTAAACTCTTGCATACATCACAACTTAGTGGCTTCCATTCATTTTTAATGCTTTGCTCATTACTAACCCCATACTCATCTTCAAACCAAAGGGACTCAGGCAGCTTTTCAGTAATTTCCATTTCCACAAGTAAGCAAGCATACCCCAGCCTATATTTGCTTGCTATCATTACATCCATTTGAATAGGTTTACCAACACTACTAGCAATCCTGCTTAAGGGTTTAGGATTCCAGTACTTAACCTTCAGCCCATGAAACTGGATCAAAATGGTACTTTCATAATTTCTTCCATTTTGAACCCCTCCTCTATATTCCAATCCTTCACAATTAAAGGTTTACTATCAAAATGGTGGTATTGCTGAGCTAACACCGCTTCCTTCCCCTCCATAGTGTTAAACCTCACCACAAATACCCCATTATCCAATAATAGCACCTTATCAACACCCAATCCACCTCAGTTCTTTCTGATATAGCCATTCATTATACGATAGGGGGGATGGTTCCCCAGTTCATAGCATACAATCGAGGTTTGTCAGTACTGGATCTCATCATCCACTTCATCCTTAACAACTTTACCAATTTTCTTATTAGCTATCACTCTGAGATCACCGAATTCAAGCTTTAAATGTACCGGTCTAAATTTATCTACCCTAAACTTTTCCTAATTGGGGTCAATCGCAGCTTTTCTTCGTATTGCCCCCCAGACATCACAATTTTCTTCTAACAAATATCCTCTAACATCAAATTAGCTCGAATGGGAAGAGAGTTTAAGTTGGAATCAGTACCTTTTGGGGTATGAAACCCTAGATTTTCTACATCTGACAAACCCTTAGATCCCGACACTTCACCATAATTCGTCACTAGAACCCCCACCTCGTTCACCGGAGATTTAGCTGGAACTTTCTTGCCTCTCGATTGCCTTGCCATGGCAGCACGACAAGAGCGCGTGAATAAAATCGCACACACTAGCAGTGAATTCGCCCACAGTCGCGCGTTTCACAGCACGTGTCAAAAGTATTTTTAAACTGCATACTGTTACATATCTAGTATAACATTATTCGATAAAATTTATGTAAATTATGGTTATTTTTTATTAATATTTTGTAAATTTATTAACACATACACCACTTAGCAAATTAATTATAGTAATTTCATCTATTGTCTGAAGGCAAAATTCGACATTATGATGACTCCACTATGATAGTATATCACTAGCTTAAAAGCAATACCTTCGATAGAGAATATAGGACTTAATATAGTAATTAGAAGTAGTGAAATTGTCGAAAACGCCTATAAGTAGAGAAATTGGCCATGTTTCATTTTTTTTTTTAAAAAAAATCTTCTTTATATATATTAAAAGAGATTTTTCAATTGGACGCATGGCACAAAATTAGATAGGGTAATCCACATGGAAAAAAGTTAGATAGTCAAGTCTATATGTCACAATTATATCAGTCCATCATTTAATGGTAATTTTTTTTAATATATTGAAGGAGAGTTTTCAATCAAACACATGGCATGAAATTAGATAGGATAATCCACATTGCAAAAATTTAGATAGCCAAGTCCACATGTCACAATTATATCAGTCCATCATTTAATGGTAATTTTTTTAATATAAAATTGTAAATTTAAAGGTAAATTAAATGAACCCGGAGATTTATCAAAATTAAATTAACTTATTTTCTTTCATGCCTTTTTTTTTTCCTAAAGAACTCTTTTCTCTTTTTCCATTTTTCTTATTTGCCCGGAAAATTAATCGTTAATTTTGTTTGTTAAAACAACAACAAAAACCAAATTAAGGTCACTATTAGCTGGATTGCAAATTTAAATCCACAAACGCATGATTATAGATTGTATAGTACGTGATACAAAAATGAGCTTTCTATCAGTGAAGAAAACTAGGGATTCAAAAGGAAATCAAATTTCAAAAATGTGTCGTTCTATATCGTATCTTCAGTTTGAAAAATAATTAATTATGAGAGAAGATTATACCTAAAAAACTAATATTACTGGATTTAAGTTTCTTCATTAACCATAAGAGAACTAAACTAATATGAAAGGACTCCGTGTCTTCACCTTGAACCCTACGAAGAAAAGGGAAAACAATAACCTATTTGGAAGTTTTAACATCAGCATATAGAGAATAGTGTTTCACCTTTAACACTATAAAAAAAGAAGGAAAATAAAAATTATCTATCCGAAAAATTCTTTTTCATATATAAACTCTATAGATAAATCTAAAAAAGACACGAGATAATAGTAAAAAATGAAATAATTATTACAAATCTTTCGGAATAGGAAAAAATAAAGACAATATTATAGGAAAAAATATACGAATAAACTTCTAAAGAAAAGTTGGAAAAGTTATAGAGAGATAGAAAATAAAGATAAGTTTATGAAAAATTGAATAAATACTTTTTTTTTTTTTTACATCTGGCAATACTTTAAGACTTAGCAATTAACAAAAAGAGAGATCATCTTATCTTTAAATAAGGAAAAAATATCGTATGTAGATGTAGCTTACCTTTTACAAATTGAGGAAGATTGTAAGAAAGATTCAGATAACATCACTCAATAGACTTTTGCTCTTTTGGCTATGCTAGGTCTTTCTATTCTAGCAATGTCGAATCCTATGGCTTTTTTACAAGCTTGGTGGTCGAGTGGGAGTTATTCAATAGCTCTCACATCGCCTATATTGATGGTCATATCTTTCATAGCATGGGAAATATGAAAAGCACAAAACGATTGTATCTTTAGAGGTGATAATTTTTCGGTAGCCGGATTTGTTTGTTTCAATTAAAGAACATGTTACTAATATGCATAACACACACAAGCTGAGGGTTGTGACGAAATCGTAACGGATTATCTTGCAAGATTTATTCCATACAAAATTTTGTCCTTCCCTAAGTCCAAAGGTACGTTCAGTCAAATGGTCTCCTCCAATGGGGGGTCTTTCATATTGAACACTGATGGTTCGGCTTAAGGGAATCTAGCCCAATCGGGTTATAGCTTTGTCATAAGAGGGGAAAAGGGCTTCTTCATGTATGGAGAATCTAGGTTTGTTTGGGAGGAGGAACCAAGCTAGCTGTTGAAATTTTTAGTGTCCTCTATAGTTTAAGAAAATGTGTAAAGTTAGACTTGAACAAAGTAATGGTTCAGACATATAACGTTTTACTCATAATGCTGCACAAGGAGCTACCATTCCCGCGAAAGTTCACTAGAGAGTTGGAAGAATTTTTTGGCATCCTATGGCAGGAAAAGTATGACATAATTAAGAAGAATTGGTAGCAGATCGATTTACAAATCTGGCATCATCTCATCACTCTGGAAATTAAGAGAATTTTTCTAAAAGATATAAAGTCATAAATCAATAAAATGAAAAATGTGAACAATAAGGTCATAAATCATATCTATAAAACACAGTGACAATAAAAATTACACAATCTAATTAATATCTTGAACAACCCGCACAACATGCGGGGTAAACTCTAGTATCTATATAAAGGATAGAGAATATATGGACATTTACTTTATGCAGTAGTAGCAATATTACTTCTTCAAAACTTTTATTACTATTAATTAGAAAATAAGGACTTTTACAGTTATGTTACTTCGAGATCTTGGGCCGACTTTCATGTTGGACCTCAATCCTGAACTTATCGCGTATCATTTTGTCATGAACAAGGTCAGGTTTCAGAAAAACATAATTGAAGAAAAATCAAACATTCCTACTCTAAATTCATTAAGGCTCTGTAAGTTTGCATGGCATTGGAGGGTTGGATTTGGAATTTGGGCCCCCAATGCCAAATACGGTGTTCGGCTGTCCAAAAATAAGATGGCATTAGCATTGACCCATTGCCAAAAGAGTTCCAGTGTCATGATTTCAATTCCAGACTTGAAGCTATTATTTGGGATTCCAAACTCTCATGGGGTTGAGTATGTGCACGGGTCGTTTTCGGGTCAATAGCGGGTTATAAGCTATTCGGATATCTCCACCTTTTAAAAAGAAGAAGAAGAAGATGGGTTCCGGTGGCGACAACATCAACGATGGAACCATGGCGGAATTCAGCGGCAAGAAAAGGAGTCGGAATGATTCGTACGACACGGCGGAGTCACGATTTGACTACTCGCCGGAGGTGAAGCGGTTGAGGGAGGATCTCCTTCTTTTAGAGAGCTTCGACGATGGGAAAATTTACACCCGGAGTTCAGAGTTGGACTCGTTCATGAAGAGTTTCGAGGAGGAAATCTTATCCGGCAAGCCAGTGCCGGCGCCGGCGACTAATCCGGCACCGGTGGTTGTTGACTTGACGTTGAAGTCTGATGATTCGCAGCCGGATAATTTGGGGTTTCTATTGGGAGCGTCAGATGATGAGCTAGGAATACCGCCGTCAAGGGGTGTGGAGACCGACGGCGGAGAGGTTCCGATCACTGAGTTGGTCCGAGCTGAGTCTGACTCGTCTGCACTCGGAGGAGGTGACTTTTGGGGTTACAATTACAGCGACGATTTACAGAACTTCGACTCTTTTGATGCCGGAATTGTTGAGTTCGGTGAACCGATGTACAACGCTAGCGGTGAATACGTGGCGCTGGACGGATTGTTTGACTATTCCGATATTGGCTTTGGGTCAAATGATATTATGTGGAGACCCGAAACTTTACATGCCAAATACGAAGGAAAATACTTTTTCTTTTTCTTCTTTTTATTTTATTTAATACCATTCTTTACTCCCCTAGTTTTTGACAATACAGTGATGTAAATTTCGTTTAATGTTACAAGACAAAAAAGGAAAAAAGGATAGCATACGGCAGATCAAAATGGAACAATTTTACACTACCTCCATTTTCACAATTTTACATCACTCTGTTATGTTAGAAGAAGATTTTACAAAAATATATTATTCTAGAAATGATACTATTTAACATAACAAAAATTAAAAGTTGAAATAATTTCAAAATAAATTAATTTTTCTTTTTTCTTTATTTTTGTAAAAAAAAAAGCAAAAGTCAAAACCAACCGAATTACTAGACTATACGAACAGAAAATTTGAAATCCTAATTGAATTTGTGACCAATTCCATGATTTTCCCGAACGGATAAATTGGCATTGAATTAAAATATCTTGAATGCCAATTGAATCCCAAAATATTCTAATGCCAATTGAATCCAAAAACATGTAGCCGAATACACCCTAAATGATTGATTATAACGATTCCTTTAAAACTTGCATAAACTTTGACATGCATATGCATCCTTTCATTGTTGACTAGCCAGAAACATCTTTCCTACAACTAGCTAATAATTTCATAATTAGTCTATGGTCGGCAATGCTTTCAAATTTACCGGCACTGTGCGGTACTAAAGTTAGCTAGTACTTGAAAACATGCAGAATTTGGAATTAGATGTGCAGATGTGGGTTTAACTTGTCATTCTCTTGCAGTCTAGAATTCTAAAGCCACAAGAAGAATCCCCCTTATACCTCAAACTGTCACTTTTAGCTACAATTGGATTCAATTGTTGAACATCTCTTTATTCGCCTTCAACGATCCGCGACTTCCATCCGGCATTGGGGTAGAGAAGATCTTTTTTCCCCTTCTGCGATCTGTACAAAGTCGCCATCCTACCTCTTGATCAAGTTTGTGGCACAAGTGGCATTACTAAATTGAAAATTGTCGATGTGAATGTGAACAAGAAAACGTAACACACATCTCAATAACCCATACCCATATGACGCAACTTAGAATAGGGAAATTGTATTTGATTCATCATATATTGTGCACAATATACAGACTATATATAGACAATAACAAACCCTAATCTAGGACATAATAGGAAATATACTAAATATTACAATACGCCCCCGCAAACTTACGGCGGAGAAGAGAGAAGCCGAAGTTTGTCCCGAAATCGAAAGAATAACTCTTTGGACAAGGGTTTGGTCAGAATATCAGCAAGCTGATCAGCAGCAGAGATAGAATTGATCGAAACAAACTTACGCCGAACATGATCTCGAACAAAGTGAAAATCAACCTCAACATGTCTTGTACGAGCATGGAACACAGGATTGACAGCAAGGAAAACTGCACTATTGTTGTCACACCAAATAGAGGGAGGGCGATTTAAAGAAACGCCTAACTCGGACAACAGATGACACACCCAATGCAGTTCAACACAGACATTAGCAACCGCACGAAACTCAGCCTCAGTAGACGAGCGAGCCACAGTGGGTTGCTTCCTAGATGCCCAGGCAATGAGATTAGGTCCCAAATAAATGAGAAAACCAGTAGTAGAATGACGATCATCCGGACAACCAGCCCAGTCAGCATCACTAAACGCAGTAAGAGTACCCAAATCTGTAAGATGCAGAACTAAACAGCAATCAACGGTACCACGAAGAAAGTGAAGAACCCGTTTGAGAGCCTGAAAATGAGAAGTGCGAGGCTGATGCATGAACTGACAAAGCTTATTAACCGCAAAGGAGATATCTGGACGAGTAAGAGTGGTATACTGCAGACTGCCACACAACCGACGATAAGTAGTCGCATCATCAGGAGACAACAGAGTACCATCCAAACGGGACAACACAACATTAGCCTGCAAAGGAGTGGAAACAGGTTTGCAAGTATGCATATTTGCAAGTCGTAGCAAATCAGTGACATACTTGCGCTGAGAGAGAAGCAAACCCTTGGAAGTACGACGAACCTCGACCCCAAGAAAGTAACTCAATGGACCTAAATCCCGAAGAGAAAACTCCTTAGCAAGACAAGAGATAAAATGCTGGACCAAACCAGAAGTGCAACCTGTAAGAATAATGTCATCCACATAGACCAGCAAAAAACACAACTGAGACCCACGGCGATAGACAAAAAGAGACGGATCACAACGAGACTCCACAAAACCCAAGGTAAATAGAAATGCTGCCAGCCGAGAATACCAGGCCCGAGGAGCTTGCTTAAGACCATATAAGGACTTATGCAGTTTACACACATAATGAGGGTGCACCGGATCAACAAACCCCTGTGGCTGAACCATATACACGGTCTCACTTAGAACACCATTAAGAAAGGCATTACTGACATCAAGCTGAGAAATCGACCATCCACGAGGCAGGGCAACAGTCAAAACCGAACGAATGGTGACCGACTTAACAACCGGACTAAATGTGTCAGTGTAATCAACCCCAAAAAACTGAGTAAAACCTCGAGCCACCAACCGAGCCTTATACCGCTCAATGGAGCCATCAGCATGAGTTTTAATCTTATAGAGCCATTGATTGCCGACAACATTGCCGGAGGAAGGAGGAGGAACTAAAGTCCATGTGTTATTTTTGAGGAGGGCGAAAATTTCATCCTTCATGGCATTCTGCCACTGAGGAAGAGATTTGGCTTGGGTGAAGGATGTAGGAGCAATAGACAAGGCTGGGGAAACAGAGGTAAGATGAGCCGAGGGATCAAAGATTTTCTCGGGCTTGGGTTGTTGACGAAGTGTCATTGAGTGCTGACGGGAAGAAGGAAGAGGAGGTGGCGGCGGAGGACTGCAATCAGATGATGAAGAGCTGGATGCAGGAGACCTAGCTAAAGGTGATGAGTCGGGAGGGATAGGAGGAGACGAAAGAACTGGTGTACTAGAAGGAGACGAAGAAGACGCAGAAGACGACGCAAGCATATCAGGAGAACTGGTTACACGCAACCAAGGGGTAGCAGGAGACTCCAGCAGAGAAGAAGGAGAACTAGAAATAGGATGTTTAAAGGGAAAGAGTTTCTCATCAAACTCAACGTGACGAGCAACATAAAGACGGTTATTCACCACATCAAAACAGCGATAACCAAGATGAGATGGAGAATACCCAAGAAAGACACACTGAGTAGAACGAAAGGAGAATTTATGTTTATTATAAGGGCGAAGAAAAGGATAGACAGTGCAACCAAAGACACGAAGAAAGGTATAATCAGGTGGCTGGTGATATAGTGTAGTGAAGGGTAGGTGACCTTGCAGAGGTTTGCTAGGGTGGCGATTAATCAAAAACACAGCAGTTTCAAAAGTAAAATCCCAAAACCAAAAAGGGGTACTGGAATGGCCAAGGAGAGCAAGTCCAATGTCGACAATGTGACGAATTTTGCGTTCAGCAGTGCCATTCTGCTCATGAGTGTGTGGGCACACTAAACGATGAACAATACCGACATCCTTAAAGAAAGAATTGAGAGAATGAAATTCACCACCCCAATCAAAGTTAACACTTTTAATGGTAGTGCCAAATTGGTTTTCTACGAGAGCTTTGAATTGCTTGAAAACATGGACAACATCACTTTTATACTTAATGGGATAAATCCATGTGAATAAAGAGAAGTCATCAATAAAAAGCACAAAGTAGCGATAACCATTGAATGACAAAATAGGAGCAGGACCCCTAACATCAGTGTGAATTAAATCAAGAGGTTTAGAGCTACGATGAAAAGTAGAAGGTAAACTGACCCTATGTAACTTCCCTAAACAACACGCCTCACATTTATCAGTGGATGTGGACACAGAGGAATAAGGAAGTTGAAACTGCCTAACCAAAGTACAAAGAGTGACATTATTAGGGTGCCCTAAACGAGCATGCCACTGACCTAAAGAGACAAGATAAGCTGCTGGAGACAAGAAACCACGAGCAGGAAGATCTAAGCAACAGAGACCATTATCAGCCCGACCGCGGAGGAGGAGTTCCTTGGTTGAAAGATCCTTAACACAACAAGAGTCAGAATAAAATTCAAAAAAACAGTGATTATCACGGGTAAACTTTTGAACAGATAACAGAGACTTAGTAAGAGAAGGACCATGCAAGACACGATTTAAATAAAGAGGACGAGAAAACGATGGCAAGACAGATTGACCAACATGCTGAATAGGTAAGCATCTCCATTACCAACTAAAATATGATCCGTACCAGTATAATCATTGGAGATACTGAGAGAGGACAAATCTGGCGTGACATAATCGGTAGCACCAGTGTCCGGATGCCAGGGAGTGAGTGACAGAAGGGGCATACTGCGCCATATGGGCTTGAGGAGACACAGTCGACTCCGGGTAAGACGGAATAGGCAACAAACCAGCTGAAGGCGGTGCAGGAGAAACTGCCTGGGCATAAGCCGCCGACCGAACGGCAGGGGGTCCAGGAACAAAATTAGTATCAAAACAGCGTCGACAAGTGGCGGCCGTGTGATTCAAGATGCCGCAAAGCGACACGTCTCACCGGAGCGGGAGGGTGTACCACGCCGACCACCACCACGACCGAAACTGATTGTGCCGGCCGCCGCGTTGCGAGCGACCGGCACGAGAGGATTGAGGCGGCGTAGGAGAAGGTGGCGACTGCATAAGCATGGCCGTTGGCTGAAGGACCGGCTGTTGGGCGTGAAGAAGCACCTCATACGAAACTAACTGACCAAGGAGATCTTGATAGGAGGGGGGTTCGGATCGCGGCTGCAAAGCTCCGATGATGCCATTGAATTCGGCACCAAGCTTGCGGAAGATGAAAGCATTGAACTCTGCAAGAGATATGCGATGGCCGGCAAGCTGCAGTGTATCTGCGATACCCTTCGCTTTGGAGAGGAGAGCCATGACCGACAAGTCACCTTTTTGCAAGCTGTGCAGCTCCATAACAAGCTGGGTCTGTTGAGCATAAGAAAGAGTGCCGAAACCCTGCTGAAGAGCTGTCCAAGCAGCCGCCGACGTTGTGCAGCCCTGGAGAATGGGAAAAATGTCTTCAGCAACGGAAGAAAGAATCCAAGAGAGGAACAGCTGATCCTTTTGCTGCCAGATATCAAACTCAGGATTGAGTTGGGGCACGGCACCACCGACGGAAGGAAGAAAACGTGGCGGTGCAGGGTCGGTAAAGGAGTAAACTGAAGACGCCAAGACGAATAGTTAGCTCGAGATTGCAGCTTCACAGTGAAAGAATGATTGAGAGATTGCAGACTAGGTTGAAGAAGTGATACTGGTGTCTGTGAAGAAGGTGTTGCCGGCCGAAGCTGGGTAGCCTGGTCGGTGGATGAAAGGTCGGGGACAGTCATCGTTGAAAGTAAGCAAGCAAGACTTAATAAAGCCCAAGTTGTTTTTTTTTTTATGTTTTTTTTTTTTGATTTTTTTTTTTGTTTTGGTATAATCCAAACACCAGCAACAACAGCAAACGACAGCAGCAAAGCAGCAACCGAAAAGCTCAATTAGCGGCAGCAAGAAGCCTGATGTGAACGGCGGCCGGCGGACTGACGGAAGAACATCAGCAGCAGCAGATGCAAGTGAAGGAAGAATGCGGACGAAGACGACCGGCGGCAGCAATAGCACGAAGTTGAAAGAGGAGAGGAAGGAGCACACGCCGGCGATGCTGAGGTTGGTCGACGGGGAGAAGAAAAAGCACACGGCCGAAAGGAATTAAAACCGACGGCAGCAGGAAAAAGAAAACAAAAAAACTCACGACGATTAAGGAACAAAAACGGAGAGGAAAGCGCCGGCTGAAGAAAGCCACTGATTTTGGGCGATGGTGGAGACAAACAAGCTGACGACCGAAAAAACAATCGGCCAGAAAAAACCAGCGGCGGCGGGGAAGAGAAAAGAAAGGGGAGGAAAAAAAAATTTGGTTGTTTTAAACCTAGTTCGATACCAACTTAGAATAAGGAAATCGTATTTGATTCATCATATATTGTGCACAATATACAGACTATATATAGACAATAACAAACTTTAATCTAGAACATAATAGGAAATATACTAAATATTACAATAACGCATGAGCACGAAAACTACAAAAGAAAAGAAAATGCTAACAAACGAAGGATGATTCGCATTTCGATCTCCAAAGTTACTATATATGTTAAATTTTATAATAAATTAATCCCTTTATAGTTTCACTTCGGGTCAATCATTTTGTTGGTATTAGCCAATTTTCTAATGCAAATGGACATCAAAAGTTCAAAACAATGGCAGCAAAGTTAAATTTCGACCAAATTTTGGACTCTTTGAGATCAGCTTTCTGTGGGATCCTGACAAAGTCATCAAGCTTATTAGTAAAACGGTTGCTAGGGATGAAGAAGATGATGAACCGGGCTATGTGACAGGCTTTGATTAGGATAGCCTTAAAATTGCATGTCTTTCCTTACTTCGATTATTTAATTAACTTGGTTTGATGATTGATAAAGACAACTAATCCTAGTGATTAGCTCGATTGGGTCCAGATTCAGCCAAGACTCGAATTAGTTTATGTTAGTAAACTCAAATCCAAAATCAGATATTTCTGTAAAAAGCGTTATAAAACATTGGAGTTTGCTATTTAAAAATTGTATCTTTTCCTCAAGTTGCTTCTCTGCATGTGACATGTGCTGATGTTGGAGCAAATTATAAATGATCGGGTATTCCATTTCATTTTAGCAGTAGTATATGTTTAAGTTGCTCTACGAAAATATATACATACGGAATCATAACTTATCATTAGCTCCGTTGTTCTAAACTATTTATTGTATTACCTTTCTCCCAAAAGAAATACAAAAATTAACAGCCAAATTTCATAAATGTAAATCTTAAAATTGGACTTATAAGTTTGGTATAACCTACAATTAATCATTAAATTGATAAATGCTCATTACTCTTTATTCAATTTTTCATATTGTGATTTTTTAATTTACAAGATTAAATCATCTAGTTTTTCTATGTTCATTTTTCAAATTGAACTATTTTCCGGATTTAGTATTATTTAGTAAAAAAAACTTGATAATTCTTTTCAGAAGAAGGGATATTAAATACTTGTAGTATTGTCCCCACATTTGAATTTAAGATCTGCTTGTTTCTATCTTGGGTTAGTTAGTCTCTACAAACTGATAATTCCTATTAAGTTAATGAGTAAAAGAGTTGCATGTACTATCTTGTATGGATCAATATGTAAGTTATGAATAAAAAATAAGAATAAGCAATACAATTTGATGTCACAAACGTCCTATTGTGCATGTTGATACATCCAATTCTAACTAGTTAAAATAAGTACTTTTTCCGGAGGCCAATTTTTTACCCTAAGTTGATCAAACCACTTGGCGTTAGCGACGTAAACATCTTTCCGTACAAAACTGGGAGCCCTAGCCCATTAATGTTTTCCTCTCTTGGAATTTTATTCATTTACATGAAACTAGCATGTTCCTTAATTTTCTAAAAGCTTAATCACTTAGACAAGTTGGAATTTTTAAAAACATTAGTTGATTTAGAAAAAGTCATTTGAAACATCCAAAACATGCAACCTGCAGAATTGATCACGCATTGACTTTACAAACAAAAACAGTTCTTTCAAGTTGCAACAGAGGCAATGAAGTTCAAAACATAACGAGGAATTCAACCAAACTAAAGAACTAATTCTGCATCAATTAACCAATGGAGACCATCCAAAATTCACGGAAAAATATGAAATGAATTCAACAGTAAAACCCAACATCATAGGGTAATCAGCTAAATTTGTGATTGCAGTACTAATTAAAGGACATTAGAGAAAAGTCATTGTTTACACATGAACAGGAAGTTCCCAAATTGGCGTTCCTAGATGTGCAAAGAAGGTATCAAAACATCTCAAACTAAGAAGAAAGCTCAAAACTTTATACCTAATCTCTTATAACCACGATTTTTCACAAAGCCAAAATGACAACAATGAACAATTTTAACTATTCCAAACTTGAACCACAAAAGGGAGAAAAAAATAAAACAGATAGAAAAATCCAAATATCAAGAATCCACAATGTCCCTCTAAAAATAAAACATAAACACCTCAAGACTTTGGATCATTAACATATATTAACATCTGGGTTTTACCGGGTTCCCTCTTTTTTTAACCGTAATCGAGCACGATGTCCAGAAAAGAACAATAATTTCAAATGGGTATCGATAAATTGCAGATAAATTAACTATTATTATAGAGATTGTTATTTTATAGATAAACTATTAAGTATTATTTTTTCGATAAATTTATATTTCATTAATTTTAAAGGATTTTTTTTCCCCAATTTTATTAGGAAACAAATGCTCAACTTCAACTCTTCTTCCCTATGTATTTAGGATGCTAGCTGGAGGAACAATCAAGATAAAATTTTCTTAAATGTATATTTCAAGGAAAAACAAAGTTCAATAGCCTATTACTTTCTTAAACATTCTTACTATGTTTCATTAAACTTGAGAAACCATTAAATTCATATTGTAAATCCGATCAATATATAATTGGTTCTCTTGTGGCACTTTCGTATTACACTTTCTGTTATATAATCTAATTACTTTTTATAAATCATATCGTTTGTGCTCATACATATACAATAAACAAATATTTTAAATTTATATTATTTTCATATTGCTATTTCTTTTTTATATCAATGTTATAATTTTTCTGAAATTTGACCAATTATTGATTCTTTTACAATGAAAATTTAAAATAAATAACCCTCTAAAAACAAAACCTTCAGTTCTAGAATTTATAACCTCGGAAGTGATTGCGAGTGGTGTAAATATATTTGTATTCATACATATACAATAAACAAATATTTTCATTTTATATCATTTTCATAATACTTATTTCTTTCTTATATCAATGCTATAAATTTTCTTAAATTTGGCCATTTATTGACTTTTTTCCAAACATTAAAATAATTAACCCTCTAAAATCTAAACCTTCAGTTCTTGAATATATAATTTCCAAAGTGATTGGAAGATCTAGGTCCCCTTTTATGCTTAGAAGAGTTTTTTTGTTATTCTGTGTTCAAACAAGATGGTGCCATATTTTGGACTCACATCTCAAAACCAAATGGCAATGAGTAGGATGGTCTTTGAAACTTATATATTGAGTCACTTCTCTTCACGCTGGCGATGTGGGACAACAAGACATCTTAACTGATGGTTTTAATATTGATAATGAGGGAGAAATTTCTCACCGGCGGGTGAATGTTTAACACAAATCAATGAGAAGTGTGGACTAACATGACAAGTATAATTATCAAAGAAAATAAATTAATCAGCAGTATGAAACCATTTAATCTAAGAAATCTTATAAATATTAGAAGAGGCAAAATCTTCTTCTTTGGAACTGTTGTTGTAAATAAGGTTGGGGCAAAAATACATAAAAGAAAGACACATTGACTCTCGTTCCTACACTTACAATACACAAAATACGTTACTTATCTTAGAATGATGGAAATGCATGTAGAAAGCATAATAGAAAGAGCGCAACACTTAAATGATTCATGAGTCGAATTTCGAAACCTATCAAATAGAATTAAGAAGGTGTATACAAGCAAACACCTTTCGTTTTATGTCCAACTGTATGCTTTCCTCTTCGCACTTCAATGGAACAACTTACACTAAATCCAACTACGCATGGGCAACTTTTTTTCCCAACATTGCGTTTCAGGTGAACCGGAGGCACATGAAGTGGCCATCTGCCATAACAGCCACAACCGTGAGGCATTCGTGGTGGTGGACTTGGAGGTGGTGGTGAAGCTGGCGGTGGTGGGCGTCGTGGCGGAGGACTTGGAGGTGGTGGTGGTGATGGTGATGGCGGTGGTGGAGGACTTGGATGCGGTGGTGGGGGTGGCGGTGGCGGAGGACGTGGAGGTGTTGGTGATGGTGGTGGCGGAGGAGGACTTGTTGGAGGTGCTGGTGATGGAGGTGGTGGAGGACTTGGAGATGGTGGTGATGGTGGTGGCGGAGGAGGACTTGTTGGAGGTGGTGGTGATGGTGGTGGCGGAGGAGGACTTGTTGGAGGTGGTGGCGGAGGACTTGGAGGCGGTGGTGGTGATGGCGGTGGCGGAGGACTTGGGGGTGGTGGTGATGGTGGTGGCGGAGGAGGACTTGGAGGAGGAGGCGGGTTTTGAGGCCCGGCACTTGGATCGGCTACCTCGAGGTCTCTCAATGAAGGTGGTAGCGGGTATTCGATCACTTTTCGCGAGGTTCCATTTGCCTGTGAATCTAATGCCAAATGACAAACACATTAGATGCTTAATAACTGAGCTCATTGATATATTCATGCATATATAAATCTAAGAAACGTATATGGAGATTATGATGATGAATTACCAATCACAAGTGTGAGTAAAATCACAACAAAAAGAGATCTCATTGATGCCGTCATTGCTGTTGATAGTTGATGATTTGCCCTCTAAAAGTCGATTGCAAAATTAATGGTTTTTTCTTGATCAATTTTCAGTTGAATTTATAAGGACGAATTGATGCAAAATATCGGTGACATTTCCTTCTCTTGATTACCAAAGGACAACTTTTGCAATTTAATTGCGATTTGTTTAATGATGATGGTTGTTATTAATAATTATTTTCCCCTTTGGGGGTTAGCAATTGACCTGATTAGTTAATCCATGTTGATTTTTTTTTTCTATTTTGTTGGGAGTAAAATACCGTACCTTAATGTATGGGTCACATGATCATGTTCAAGACTTGACATTTATATCTCTATTACTGTATAGTTAGTTTTTACCGATTGATTTTGTCCTACAATAATGTTACAACAGTTGACATTCCTACCACTATTTTGCTCGTTTTGTGCACTAATTTTTTTTAAGACAAATAAAGTACTATTATTTTACGATTTTTTATACAAGACGAGATCTTAGTAAATTAAAGTACTACATTATATATGTAAATAAGATGACAATATCTTGCCCAGATCGCGAATATTAATGTTATTACTTAGAAGTGAACTAGCGCACTTTAGTGTTAGAAGGACCTTTCCGTCTCCATTAATGTCATTTGTAAGCTCGGTTACCAGTTGGGGGCAAAATTGCAAGAGTAATCTGAATCTAGTAAAATAGTTTATGCTCTCAAAAACCACCATAAGAACTTAATAAATTCACTTGGTCGAATGAGATTAGTCCGCCTGATCTATATGTTTTTTTTACTATTCTAGCCTAGCTAATTAGCCCAACCACAAATCCATATTAAATATGTTACCTCACGATTTGATGAGGATCGAAGTCGTGACCTCCCAAATGTTTGTTAATAGCAGTGTCATTACAGAACTGAAAACTTTGAGGCTAATTATAGTTTTCCCTTTTTGTCAATTGCTGCAAACTTTGAAGCAAGTAATTTCTTTTGCAATTTATAAGGATGTAATTAATTAAAGCTCAACGAAAACTGTTTATTATCATCAGCAAGTTGTTGTTATGATCACTTGGTTATTTACCGAGTGCATCTGGGGCAGAGCCACATACAACCTAGCTGGGTCAATTGCTCCAGCTGGGAAAAAAACATTTTACTAATTACCTCTTGGAATTTGATAATTTTTTGTAAAAATATTGCTATTTGCCCTCATTTAAATTGAAACTATTAAGGGGCAACAATTTTTTTGGAAAATTTTGCCCCATCATATCTATGGAGCCTAGTTCCGCCCTTGGTCTGCATGGTTTGTTTAAATAATGATGCTTCGGAGGATACAAATAGACGAAAACGAATTTATTTTGTCTTGCTAATTTACAAATTTATTTTGTCTGAAAAATGGCCCTATTCGAAAATCGCAGATTTAACAAGTTTGTTTATATGTAAATGCAATACTTAATAATGGATATGATCATGCACGATTAAGATTGAAGAGCATATTAATCGAAAGAATCTATAGAGTATAGTAACATTTATACATGTTCATTACTGATTTTTTAAAAAGATTAAAAGACTATATTAATTAGAATTAGTTCAATATATGATTTCATTCAAATTGTAAATGGTACGTAACAACCTTTAGCAGAGAAAGAAAACAAGCAATTATATTTACTTATACGAATAAATCGGATATCTTCTGAAACCTGGCTCAACTGTTAGGCCTATGGTACGTACGATTTTCACAGCTTCCGTTGGCTGAGTTAAAGCTGCGCATGTTGAAGATAATAGAAGACACTAAGGAATTACTTCTATTTCAATTTTTTTTAAAGAAATAAAATTACGTCAAAGCTATGCTTTTTTTTTTTTTATTAAAATCAACGTTTAACAAAGGAGTTATTATCTAATTAGATATGAACGAAAATGAACTTGATTGCAATGTCTATAGCCAATTTTCTTTCGTTATGCATTTTGTGTTGGCCAAACACCTAATGTCGTTGCAGTGAGAACTCTTTAAATTAATTGTATATATCATTCTTTCTACACTATTATTTTAAATACAAAGAAATGAACTGTGAAAGCACAACGTAAAAAATTACAGGCCATTAATCAGAAGCACGTATACTAATTGATGTGCATGTTAATCAACAAAATAAAATAAACTTAGTCAAAATATTCTCTATGTCCCATTTTATTTTTTTAAAAAAAACATTACACTTAACAGTAGGCGCGTGCACAAGGGAATCAATCCTGAATTAATTGTCATGAGTTTATGTAAAATGGGCAAGCTAGAGAGAACTACGAAATCCAAGCCAGATTTTCCATATGCAAAAAGGTTTGTATAAGTACACGATGTATCACTAATACTTCCAATTATTTCTAAGAAAAAGTTTCAATAATGACTACTGGAGTCGTCCCAATAGTGAAATTCCTTCCCAAGTACCCAATGGAGATCGGGCTAATGGCATTCCGCTATTAATTATAGACTCATCATTAAATGCATGCAATTTAGTCAACGATCAAGAACTATCAAACGTTGACTTGATAGCACTTGAGTTGAGAGTTACCAAAAATGGCATCAGTGGTTGACTTTCTCGTACTTCACAGTAGGGACAAGAAAAACAGAATTGTCGTTAAATTTAGTCATTCATAATACAAATCCGAGAATGTGAAAATATCTTCTGAAGGTAAAAGCCAATCTCGCTTAAGCTTTGCAGATTTCCGGAAAAAAAAAAAAAAACCCTCAGGAAACTTACCAAAAATGAATCTCAATAGTGTTACAAAGCTACTACATGCACTTAATACTTTAACAAGTAGTAAGACTTATTATACTGCACATTAAGTGGATCTAGCTAAGTCAACTTAGATTAATTTTTAATTATTCAATAATAGAGGGACTTCATGTATAATTATTTAACATATTTTTTTTCCCTTTCCAATGCACGTGTCTCATCCCCTTAATTTTAGGAAATAGATTTTCAAAATTTCTTTTATCTTCAAATAATTTTATTTCTAAATCCGTAATGAAGTAGATCAAGTGTCTTATATCATTTTGATAGTACTCGATGCGATCTATCCAACAAGATCCATCAATAATATGTTTTTCGAAACTTTAAAAAATTTATGCAGTTGACTTGGTCATCCGAAAAGACGTTATGGTCTTACTTGTATGTTTTATGAACAAGACCTAGAACAAATACCAAAGACCAAAGGCCAAATACTAAAAACCGAAAATCAAAAAGCAAAAAGACAAAAACCAAAGACCAAAGATCAAAGTGAAGAGTGAGCGTGTGTGGGAACCAAAGACCATAGTGAAGAGCGAGCGAGACCAAAGACCAAAAACCGAAAACTAAAGATCAAAGACCAAAGACCAGAATAAATAGCGATTGTGTATGATGAGCAAAGACCAAATACCAATGCACAAAAGACCAAAGTAGGTCCTAACCAACACGAAAATGCTTAAACCCCCATAAACCCTTAACCTTAAACAACTAAACTCTAACCGACATGAAAATGCTTAAACCCACTAAACCCAAAACACATTAATATATATATATTTTTTTGGTTTAAATTTTTTTAAACCAAAGCCTATTTGATTTTCAAAAATATTTATAAGGTTAATCGTGTTACGGCACAAATTAGGCCTTAACTGACATGGAAATACTTAAACCTCCTAAACCCTAAACCCTAAGAAACTAGACCCTAACCGACACGAAAATTCTTAAACACCTCTAAACTCTAAATACACTAATTTTTTTTGTTTAAAAATATTTCATAAGGTTAATCGTGTTATGATACAAATTAAGCCATAACCGACACGGAAATGCTTAAACCCCCTAAACCCTAAACAACTAGACCCTAACTGACATAGAAATGGTGAAACCCCCCTAAACCCTAAACACACTAATTTTTTTTTTTTTGGTTTAAATTTTTTTAAACCAAATAGGTTAGGATCTCTTGGTTTAAAGAAATTTATAAGCTTATTCGTGTTATGGCACAAACTAGGCCCTAACCGACATGAAAATTTTTAAATCCTCTAAACCCTAAACCCTAAAAAAGTAGATTCTGACCGACATGGAAATGCTTAAACCCCCTAAACCCTAAACAAGTAGACCCTAACCGACACGAAAATGGTTAAACCCCCAAAAACCCTAAGCACACTAATTTTGTTTTTTGGTTTAAATTTTTTAAAACCAAATATGCTATGGTCTCTTGGTTTAAGAAAATTTATAAGGTTAATCTTGTTACGGCACAAACTAGGCCCTAACCGACACGGAAATGCTTAAACCCCCTTAAACTCAAAACCCTAAACAACTAGACCTTGACTGACACGGAAATGAAACCCACTAAACCCTAAACACTCTAATTTTTTTTGGTTAGCCTAACTGGTTTAAAACAATTTATAAGTAAATCGTGTTATGACACAAACTAGGCCCTAACTGACACAAAAATGCTTAAACTCCCGTAAACCCTAAAAGCTAAACAACTAGATCCTAACCGACATGGAAATGGTTAAATCCCGCTAAACCCTAAATACACTAATATTTTTTTTGGTATAAATTTTTTTAAACCAGTTAGGCTAGGGTCTCATGATTGTAGCCTAATTGGTTAAAAAAATTTATAAGTTAATCGTGTAATGGCACAAACTAGGCCCTAACCGACACGGAAATGCTTAAACCATCCAAAACCCTAAAATCTAAACAGCTAGACCGTGACCGATAATGAAATGGTTAAACCCCCTTAAACCCTAAACACACTAACTTTTTTTTTTGGTTTAAACTTTTTTAAATCAATTAGGCTAAGATGTCGTAAACGAGACCGTAACCTAATTGGTTTAAAAAAATTAATAAGTTAAACGTGTTATGGCACAAACTAGGTCCTAATCGATAAGGAAATGCTTATACCCACCCTAAACAACTAGACCCTAACCGACAAGAAAATGCTTAAACCCCCCTAAACCCTAAACACACTAATATTTTTTTGATTTTTTATTTTTGGCCTTTGGTCTTTACTCCTCATACACCCTCGCTTTTAATTTTGGTCTTTAGTCTTTGCTCTTTGGTCTTTAGTTTTTTGTTTTTGGCCTTTGGCCTCTGGTCTTTGGCTTTCGTTGTTTGGTCTTTGGTCTTTGGTATTTGGTCGTTGGCCTTCGGTCTTTGGTCTTTGGTCTTTGGTATTTGGTCGTTAGCCTTCGGTCTTTAGTCTTTGGTCTTTGGTCACTGGCCTTCGGTCTTTGATCTTTGGTATTTGATATTTGGTTTTTGGTTTTTGGTCTTTGCTCCTCAGATAAAGCTCGCTCTTTCACTCTGATTTTTGGTCTTCGATTTTTGCTCTTTGGTCTTCAGTTTCTTGATCTTTCGTTTTTGGTCTTTTGTCGTTGTTCCTCACATGCGCGCGCTCTTTACTCTGGTCTTTGATCTTTTCTCTTTGGTATTCAATTTTGGTCTTTGGCCTTTGGCGCTTAGTCTTTTCTGTAGATCTTGTTCCTAAAAGATACAATAAGACCAAAATATCTTTTAGTAAGACCAAGGCTACTGCATAAATTTTTTTAACTTTCGAAAAACATATTCATGAAAGATCTTGTTGGATAGATCTCGTCGATTACTATTAAAATGACATAAGACCCTTGGTCTAATTATTCACATATTAAGAAATAAAGTGATTTAAAAATTTAAGAAATTTTTAAAACCCAATTCCTAAAATTAAGAGGAAGGGGCGCGTGAGTTACACATAACTCATAAAGACTTGCATATTTAATCCCCCTTTCCTATATTAATTACCAAATAAGGATATATGTGTACCTAACTACATGTACTTAATGTGCGTAGTATAATTTTTGCAAATATAACGACTAAAATCATGTCTAATCTTATGTTATTAATTAATAACTGTAATTCAATATGGAGCATTGACTAAGTGTTTGATCAGGTAGTCGTCATCATCTTCTTCTGCTTTTGTAGTCGTAAAATAGGTATTTACCTCTTTAATTGTTTTTTTAAAAAAAGTTTCTGTCTCGTGATTCTCTATCCCAAAAAAATTAGTACATAATAATTTTTGAAATTTATATTATTATCATATTTTTAAAGAAAAATTAGATACGAATTACAAAATTATGTGGACTATTTTTATTTTGGAACGAGGTGTTATAAAAATCCATCTAAATTCTAATTCAAACGATCAATAGACCTATCTTTTCGATTTAAAAAAAAAGCGTAAATGATAAATATATTCTTAACATAACCGAGCATATTTAAGTTTCACGGAAATTATTCGATGATCATAATTTTGTCCTTTCTCAGTTATCATTATTTTTCATTCTAAAATCATCTGACAAACTCGATAAATTTTAAAATCAAGAGAGAGTATTTCCAAGTATATATACTCTCTTCATGCAAACAAAAATTCGCTTTGCTTTCTCCGAAAAAAAATCGCTTTGTTATACTACCTCCATTCCTATTTATAAGATGGAATTAACTAACTTTACACACACCAATAAAATTAACAAAATTTAGTTTTTTTTGTTTAAAGATATTGTAAATTCTCCAATTTATCCTTGATAACATGAATAAAGTGGTTAAATTAATTTTAAATTGGTTACTTGTGAGGGTAAAAGAGAGGAAAAAAAAGTCATTAAATGCTTTTTTGGAAATATAAAATTTCTTATAAAAAAGAATGAAAAAAATATGTCCAAAACCTCTTATAAATAGGAATGGTGGTAGTAGTCTCTTACTAAAGAGTATTAATTAATTTCCCAGAATATTTAAGCTATATACATGGGTCGGAAAATATTCTGAACTATTTTCTGCACCTACAAGTTGAAAATGAAATGCATTATGCATTATGTCTAGCAGATTAAGCTCTGGTTATCATTTAATTTTGATGCAATAACAGTCAGCACCTATATATCTGGTGGGTTAATGTGAGGTTTGATCTCATCAATATTTGGACATTTGAAGGATTTATATTTTTAACGACAAGAAAAGAATATCGGTGTTACTAAAACAAGTTTAGAAACAAAAGTTCTTATTTATATTTCAAACATCATAATACAAAAGTACACTTTAAAAGTTTGATTTGTCTTATTTGTTGAACTGACGGAGTTCAACAAAACAAATACAAACCTATTTTTACGCGACGAAACAAATAGTTGTTACATATTGACCTTCCCAACAAAGCTTCTTCATTCATGAAATTTAAACATTTAGGGCTCATTAGTCTCACGAGGATAGCCACCATTCCCACCACCGTAACCACTCCCACCACCATAGCCGCCGCCATAACCGCCACCACTTCCGGAACCCCCGCCACCACCATAACCACCGCCTCCGCCATAACTACCCCCACCGCCATAGCCGCCACCATTACCATAGCCACCGCCTGCGCCGTAACCACCACCACTACCATAGCCACCGCCACCTCCGGAACCACCTCCACCACCATAGCCGCCACCATACCCTCCACCGTTGCCGTAGCCGCCTCCGTAGTTTTTGGCTTCCCCAAACCCTGCAGCTGTGTCAGTCGTCTTTGCTGCGTCGACAAAGCAAATACCGATAAGTATTCATCCTATAAGTAAACATCTTGCAAAATTGGGAACATTTAAACATAAATAAACCAAACCAAAAAAAAAGGATATTTCATAAAGAAAATGATTTATCTCTTACGTTTTTCAACCAACTCCCGAGCAGCAACCTCGGAGGTGATCATCATAGCCAAAAACAAGGCTATGCAAGCGAAAATGAGAGCCTTAGAGCCCATTTTTATTTCTTCTTTTTTTCTTTTTCTTTTGTAGTGTCTTTTGAACTCGTTGTGCAGAAGATTGAATGAGAATGGTCCTATTTATAGGAAAATTACGCAATATTACAATGTGGGATTGAAGTAGGAAGAAATTTCAGCAACCCTTAATCTGGTGGTGGTGATGATCTTATTGACTTGATCAAGATGTGGTTGGGCGTTGGAGAAATGGGTACGTATGAGCTAATGAATTTTGCTATTAATGACGCTGAATTGTGTTTTGAAGAGAGTCAAATGGAGTAAATGAGGATTCACACAAGCTGAGTTCGATTTTATTATATGTCTGAAAGTTATTTAGATGTAATGTTTTTCCGATAGCCTTTTCTAACACTCATTCAAATTGGAGGGTCCTTCATATTGAAGAACAAGTTGTATGTGGTGCATGCATGCATGGAACGTCCTATTCGAATACTCCCCTTCACGCAACTGATTGTAAACCGTATCATGCGTTAGTATTATATTAAATGTTCGTGATATATATACATATATATATATTATATATATTATATAATATATATATATATATATACATATCTTACTATATTAGAAACAAAAATCACACTTAAGAGAAAGCACCACCATTTACTATGTGACATTTCCACATCATATTTTTAAAATAAATTTTTATTTACACATCAATTTCCTAGACTTAAAAGGCAAATGCAGTCCAAATCTACCTCCACCTCCTATTAGGATGTAATAGGAGAACTTTTCATGTCATTCTCTCCCCCCTTCTCTCAATCTCCACGATTCCACCCACCAATCGACTTTTAATCCGTCCACGTTTAAAACGTCCACGTATAGAAATTATTCCATGTAAAAATTATAGTTTTTAATCCATGTAGAAAATCATGACAACGACTCTAAAAATTTTTCCAAATCATCGACCCTCATTTATGTATTAGCTAACGGAATCTTTAGTTATGGTAATTTGTCAATATTCACCAAACCTTCTTGGAATAATTTTTTTATATATAAACCCCAAACCAATTCTTATATGTGGATTAATTGAGCTAAAATTTACAACAAAAATACTGAAATGGTATATACATAACCACTGCTATTAATTTTATTAAGTTACCATAAAATGGTCGTAACACAATTAAGTTCATTTCGATGGAGTATTCTTAAGTTACACTATTTTTTTGACATCTAATATTTTTATGCAAAAACTATTTTAGAAACCACAATCCCAAACTGATTAATTGATATCACATCCAATATTTGTAAATTAGTATATAATAATATCTTTTGCAAATATTAGGTAATGATATCATTACATTATTAAAATATTTGGATGTGATTACACTATTTAAGAAAATATAATTGATTTGGGTTCATAAAAAACCCAAATCCTCATCCCCATCTCCACGACAATCGACTCCCTAATCAATGCCTTCTCCATAAAAAAAAAAAAAACAAATTCTCATCAATTATCAATTGAGAATATGTGGTGAAATATACTCCTTTCGTATTAGCATGTTCAATCTTTTCATTAGTGATGATCAACTACACCCTAATCGGATAAAATTTCGACTTCAAAAAATATTCTCTTTACCTCTCTATATAAACACAAAGAAAAAAAAAATTCTCATTGATCTTGCTTCGGCCGCTGTGGTGGTACCATTACAGGTATTAAAATTTAAACGATTTTATTTCCATAGATCATTTGTTTGGCTTTTATTATTTTTTATTTTTCCAGTTTAAGAATAGTATTATTACTATTATTTTTATCTGTCCATTCGTTACAGCTACCGTAGCCGTTGTCAGGTAATATGATGTGATTTCTTATATGGTTAGTTAGCCTAGAATTTTTGTATGATTTTAGTTCTGTTTGGATTGAATTGATTAATTGAGTTTTTGTTACAAAGTATGATTTTTAAAATTTTTTTATGTTTCATTCAATTAGAGTGGTTTTCTTTTTTTAATTATGGAGTCTCAGGTTATTTTTCGTATATCGTCAGTTATGAAGTGTGTCTTTTCTTTGTTTAATTGCTTTTGATTTTGTTTCATCCCACTTGACCAATTATTATTATTATTATTTTATTTTATTTTCAAATGAAGCGCTTTTTTTTTTTGTGTTCGGGCTTGCAAGAATATACTTTTTTGGACTTGGTTTTTGGACTTTTGTTAGTTCTTCATCATATGAATAGTTCAGGTCGTTTCTTCTAACTAATTTATGGGAAGGCTTTTATGAATTTGAGGTAGAGAGGGAATGAATGATATTTCTACGTTTATTTATGTTTTATACATTATTTTTACCTACAGAAAAAAATAAATTTCTCAATTTTTGATGGGTTTTCTTACTTTTTTTTTTTATTTGCCATGGTGAGGTGACTTTTTTTTTTTTTTTGCTATAACTTGAAACCTATGCAAATTTACATTATTTTCATTCTCGTATTTGTGATTAACCAGTTTCAACAATTAATCGGTTTCAAAATCATATTTTTGATATTTTTACTACTTATAAACTTTTGGAAGAAATAGTTCCAACCATTAAGCGTATACCCTTTGGAGGAAGCTTACTAAGAACATCAATAAATTATCTTACTAATATTTAAACTTATTAGGATACTTTTATATTTTGTCTAATATTTACGTCAAGACATATACTTGATCAAGTTTATTTATATTTAAGAAGTAACACTTATAAAACATTTCTAAAATCTTCAAACATTTCTAAAATATATCGGATTAAATACAAAATATTTTTTTCCCAGATACAAATATTTTTAAGATCTACAGGTATATTGGGTCAGGGTTGCGCATTGCGCGACAAGACATCACTAGTATATATTAGGTAGAAGTATTCGTGGATTATGAAAAGCTTGATCAAACTCTATATGCAGCAACAGAATTATAGCATAAGGGATTCCCGAAAGCATTATAAAATTGGTTTTCTTAATCTTTCAATCTGTTGTATGTTTTACGGGAATCACGACGTTTCATGACCGGCATATAAACCATTCGAGTACTATCATTTAGAAGTCGACACTTATCGAAAGGAAGTGACTCACCATGTAGCTATCTTTCTAGTGACTAGTTCTCTTCCTCCACTCGTAATATATTAAGGGCCCTTATGTTAAATTACATGTCGTTTTCTTGCAACATTAACGATATAAAAGTCGGTTAGCGTTTAAAATGGTAAAATTTAAAGTTTTTTTTTTTTTTGAAAATGGTCAAATTTAGAGGTTGATTATTAGCTTTTAGGTCACTAGCTAGATATTAAAATTGTGGTAGATATAAAATAAGGAAACATAGATCAGTAGATACCCAAAAAAAATTAACAATGTATCGTTATTAATTAACATATATATGAAATTATTGCAATGTCAACCCAAATATCATATGGCTCAAATCCCACAAAGGGCGTAGAGCGGGTTTTTGAACAAGTACTTTGTTAATGCCATGTGAGCAATAAAAAATATGTAAAAAAAACAAACTCGAAACTTTTAGAAGAGCTTATTTAACCCGACAGTGTCATCAAAACAATCATTTTGAATCATAAAAATATTTAAATAATCATTTTGATTCAAAAGAAAACAGACGAATACATAAATTCCTTAAGTTGAATCATTCTTAGACATAAATTTTCCGGTCGATTTCTTGTAACCGTTTTTATTTGTAAATCTGGTGGTTTAATTATTAGATGACTAACAGTTTTTTGGATTCAAATTCGTGATTTATTAATTTAATATTTTTAGGTTTTTCCTTCTAAATTTGTTTTAATAAAACTTATGATTTACTAAAGTACGACGTGGCCGAAGTTTTTATCAGCAATTGGTTGATATGTATATTGCTTTCTTTAGAAGTAATCTTTTCAGTTAGTCGAACTCTTTATCATATCTACCCAAAGTAATTAACATTCGCTCTTGTCCTCACTAGACACGAAATTATACTAATTCTAGTGTTAATTTAGACCCTATAATTAGGACAGGAGGAAAAAGTATATTAGGGATTTCCATTAAATATCAATAAAGTTGGGAGTGCATTTTTTGTTGTTAGTCACCACTATAAATGACATAATTTAAGGATCTCAGGTAAATTGTCTTCTATTTCTCTTTTTTTCCATACAAAAAAATATTCTTAATTTTAATTCTTGAGTTTTGCATATATACTACTCTCTCCGGTCCTTATTATAAGACATTTTGATATTTTCTATATTTCACCTAGTATACTTTTTAATTGGAAACAAACCTTAAAAATATTATAAGACCGTGAAACTAAGGACCAAAAAATGTCTTATAATAAGGACCGATAGGTTATTCATTCCAAAACAATTGTCCATTTATCATTCTATTTTAATATTCATTTCCTCATAAAATAATTATCCAATTCATAGTCCAACTTTACTAAAGTAAATATGATAATTATTTTTAAAAAATACACAGAAAAAATAATCATTTTGAAGCATCTTGTTTAGCTAATAAAATATATGGAGCCACTGCAGTTGCACCTTTATCCCTTTTTCTTGGTAGACTACATAAGTTTAATGGTATGAGAACCTAGGCCCCCCGAAAAATGATAATATTGTTTTTCCAAACTATTTTACTGGAAGATTTGCAACTGGTAAAGAAACAGCCGCCACCTAGGGTTGAAGCGCCGCAGCCTAGGGTTGAAGCAGGCCGCCGTTTTCTGCTTATGGCGGGGCCGACGTCGCACCACTCCACACCAAGGCTTGTGCCTCGGAAGCGTTCGATCTGCTGCACTGC